ACTGAAGGATAGGCTAATTATGCGCTTGATTTGAAGCGAGTAATAGGGTCAACTACACCCTTAGGCTATGTTAATCAAGCTTTTCAGTCGTTTTACAAGCGTACAAGAGAAGATCTTTGCTCAGAACTTTCTGATATTTGAATCTTTTACTGCTAGTTCCATTCCAATAATTTGGTTTTTGTCTTCATACATACCTCCGGAGATAGTTGTCGTAGGACTGATTTCAACCGTTGTTGTTGGTGCCTCCTCTGTGGTTATGATCGTAATAGTTGTTAAATGAGGCGTCACTTCATCTAAAAAGAATTAATGCTTCTAAGAAACTCTACACAATTATCCATCTATTAGCTCATTGATGTCTTGCCCTAGATCTATTGCTTCCTATGGCTCCAATTGCAATCTGGTCTTGAAACTACAGCTAGAAGGATTGACTCAACATACACCACGATTTGAGACGACTACGCTTCCTAATTTTTTACACTTGCCTTGATGAAGCTTCAATATCAAGAATATAAGATAACTTCGTACCTTGCTTGCCTGGTGTCATGGTCGTTGTAGACTTGTTTTGTTTGAAACATATTGATTGACATTCTGCATCAGTTAGGAAATTATTTTCATTCGCCAAACAGCCGCCATACAGAAATGGTCTGCAGTCTTCTATTTCATAGTCATAGGCGTACCTAAAGATATATTTACTTTAGTCAAAATATTGCAAACTGTGAGCAAGGATTTTATGTTGAAGCATAAAGACCTTTTACCTCCAGAGCTTTGCTGTGCATGGTCCCTTTTTGATATTTTGTAGACATTCTCTTCGACACGTTTTATGAGCGTATACTGAAGTTAATCGCGCTCACTTCAGCTGCACTGTTAGAGTTCGCTTGAAGAGTAACAAACCTGATGTGATCCAGATGAGGAATAACGCTCGAACCTTCATTGGTTACTATTGCCAAGTGAGTCCAAACAAATAATGGATGTGCTTCAAAAAACTCGAATGCTTGAGGGTTTTCCAGGTTTCTCACTTTGGCAGCTGATTAAAATCAACGAGGAAGAAGAAAAACACTTTTACGGATTGGATATGGAATTCATCTTTTGAGCTGGCTCTGTTTTGATACATTTATGATTTTAATTACCTCATCATCAACTCGGTCGCCATATTTTACAATTTTAGAAAACGTGTGCGTGAGAATGAAAGTTCTCGAGAATGATACGAAGACGCATGGTTAAGCATATGATCGTTGCCTTGCGGTAATTGGAAACTCGAAGGAAGGCACCTGACTTAGGTTAGCTTTTGAAAAATGATACTTATATTCGAAATCAGCTCAAAACGATAGTCCAAATGTGTTCTCAGTTGTAAATATTATATATTGAAATGAGTTATGCGATGGGAAGATCCTGTAAGTGAGAATTTGCACGGAAAAGATGCTGGGATATCGAGATAACAACTCGAGTATTTTCACTAAAAGCTTATGCAATTGCATAACCATTTAGATGTTGATACCGTAATCTCTGCAAGTCGATCAGCATACAAATTTGGCCAGAAAAATACCCATAACCCTGTTCAATAACGCTTTGCAGTCAGGAACAAATTTGAATTCAGCTTCAAGCTGATTCCAAACATATGTGTCGTTTGAAAAGACCAACCTAAGTTAGGGCCCTTTCTCGTAAGAACTGTATATCGGTTCTAGAGTTTGCATTTGACGTTTCAAAGGGAAAAATTCGCGTTGACTTGTGCCCATTCATATCATAAAGTGTGACATAGATTGTGATAAGTTCCGAAGTGTCAAAAATAACATATTCTACAAACAGTCTGACTTCTAGAGCTTCGCATTAGTTAAGGATCTT